TGACTCTGATCAGTATGAGGATGACAACAACAGCAGTGACAGAGATTCAAAGGAGAGAAGGCATAGAGGTCGTGACTCTGATCAGTATGAGGATGACAACAACAGCAGTGACAGAGATTCAAAGGAGAGAAGACATAGAGGTCTTGGCTCTGATCAGTATGAGGATGACAACAACAGCAGTGACAGAGATTCAAAGAAGAGAAGACATAGAGGTCCTGGCTCTGATCAGCATGAAGATGACAACAACAGCAGTGACAGAGATTCAAAGGAGAAAAGGCATAGAGGCCCTGGCGCTGATCAGCATGAAGATGGCATATGTGATACAGGTTCTAAGAAGAGATGTCGACCTGAAGATTCAAGCTCTGATTTGGAAGACGATAACATTACCCGGGATATTAATAGTAGCTCCCTTTACATTAAAACATACAAAATAAAAAAAAACAAAATGAATCAAGGTCAGAGTAGAGGTGTAAGAATTTATGACAACCGTCATGCTTGCTACTTTTGTGAGAAAGTTGTGCTACACATAAAGGAACATTTGAAAACACACAGAAACCAAGACATGGTTAAAGACATTCTCAAAAGTGATCAGCCTAATTTTACATCATTGAGAAAGTTCGGAGACGACCGTCATAACAGGAAATGCGTGGAAAAGAAACAGGGAGAAATTATCCTGGCCAGGCGGCCAAAGGGGAAGTTTGATGTCACAGATTATGGTCCCTGCCCTAATTGTAGGGAATGGGTTATGTTGGATCATTTAAAGCTTCATTATAGACATTGCCAAAGCCATGAAAAAAACACTGTAAAGATGCGAAGGAAAGACCTGGTGTTTCAAGCTCAGGTTTTAGCTGGCCATCTCAAGGATGAACCATCATCACTCATGAGTAAAGAAGTTCTGCCAATTATGACCAGGGATGTGATGTCCCAAACTGCCCAAAATGATCCACTTGTAATGGCACTGGGAGAAAGTTGGTTAAGGCGTAACAGAGGAAATGTTGAAAAAAGAAAGTATTATGCAAGTTCCAGAATGAGGCTATGTGCAAGGCTTCTCCTTGCCCTTAGAGATACAAAGTCTAACAAGGATGAAAAGACTTATCTAGAAGAAGGAGATGATGATGAGGGAGACGGGGATGTTAAGTGTGAGGCACTTGTCCCAAAAGCAGATGATTCCAAAGGGTTATGGCATTATCTGAAGCCCAACCATTTTGATGATATTGTTTTAGCTGCAATAAAATGTGCAATTCCTAATGCAGATGACGAGGATGATTTGCTTGCCCCTAGCAATGCTATTATGTTAAAATACGACCTGCATCGTCTTATCAATAGTAAGTGGGCTATGATAGTAAAAAATGGATCTGCAGATGACGAGGAAGCAAAAAATTGCAAGACATTGCTAGCACTGATGGACTTGGAATGGGAGGAAAGAGTAACAAGGTTTGCTCGATTGGTGTTGGCACGTAGGAAATATGAATATAAAAATGAACTTCCCTCTCCGAAGGACATTGAACAAATCACAAAATACCTGAGGAAAGAACTTGACCATCTAGAACTTGTTGCAGATAATTTCAGGAGATTAGTTGCCCTATGCCAAGCCAGAATACTGCTTTACAACAAGCGGAGATCAGGAGAGGTTGAAACAATCAAGTGAGTGATAATTCCACATGGCTATTTCTGACTTTAAAATGTATGCTGTTGTATTGATTTTTAGCCCTCATCATCAAATGGAGGGGTATTCAAATCACCCTTCGGCTGTGGTCTATCTGTTGTCTGTCCATCCTTGAACAATTTTTGTACCACTATTTCTTGAAAGGTACTGGATGGTTCATTCTCAAATTTCATATGTAGGTTCCTCTTAGTCTTAAAATGTGCCCTTTTGATTTGGACACTGATAGAAAAACAAACGAGCAGGGAACCATCCTAGATTTGACAGTTTAATAATTATTTCTATATCGTAGAGGAAAAACAAGGAAAGAAGAGAATAGAAGGAAAAAGGTCAAACTTTTAAAGAACAAATAAAGATCAAACGATGGTCGGCACCAAGATCCCTCTGGGATCTCTTGTATGTTCATTATTAATCATCGTTTTTAAAATTTGCTGTGAAGATGTTCGTGTTTCCTGTTTCCACTTGTGAGGTCCAACTGTAGTAGATTGATTATCTGCTAATGCATTGTATTTGATTCAGTCTGAAAGTTGTTTGAAAAACATTGTATCGCTTTGAAAGTTATGTGGGGGTTTACTGTATGTACTTGGGGTGACTTTTAAAGCTGTTGGGGCCTCTTGTTACATTAATGGAGTTGATAGGTAATGTTAATATATAAATTTGAAATGTTAATGAATTTACAAAATAATGTTTTATTTACACAGGCTTCAGTTTTATGCCTCAAGAAGCAAGCCCTCTGATGGTATTGATGAGTCCCTCGAGTCTGACCTTTCACCTGTAGAAAAGCATTTGCTAGAATCGCAGGAATTCCTTCGAGTGCGAGGAAAGGTAAAGTACAAGGTTAACATTTATGTAGCAAGATGGATATTCTATCGAACTGTTGATGGCAGACCGATTGTCAAAGGAGTACATGGATTTATTGATTTATTTCCAAAATGGTGGTTAGAAAAAGTTGGCAAATGTAATAACATGTGTTATACTTAGCAAGGTTTTGAGTCCGGAATGGATATACTAACTCGTATATGCATGCAAAAGATATAAATATGAATTCTAAAACAGGGATTGTATTCATGAATTCATTCTCATTATTAAGCATATATCTTGTTTCTGCTTCGAATTGATAATAAAGCAAATCATATCAATTTTTGGGAAATATTCTGAAGAGCCCAAACCGTACACTTGTATATATACTGTTCAATGTATGCAATTTATATTTGCATTATTTTACAATACTTTGGTGAGTAACAAAATTATTCATTTGATCATGAAATCTGTGCTTATAAGCACAAGTACAGCTTCAGGAATACTGGCCCAGATGTTCATACTATTGATGTTAACGGAAGTGATAGGATATAAATACTGTAATAAGGAAGGAAAATGAAAAAAATATGAAGACAGTCAATCAAAATTAATCATTTATCAGCAGAATTAAAAAAATGACAATTAAGTTTATATGAGTTGATGAAGGTGAAGGTTTATTTACATCTATCAGCATTGGAAGACTTTGGTCAGTACAATATATAGTTCTCAATATTAATGAAATTCAGAACATAAAACCATATTGATGTGAAAAGTTTCAAATTATTCATTCCAAGAGAAACACAACTTGAAGCATGAATTGGAGCAAATTGTTTATCTGCTAAGTCATAAATATAACTAATATTAAATGCTAATTGCGGATTTGAGATGAAATTTATACACACTTTTCTAACACTGCATCATAACAATCTTGATAATCTGGATGTCATAATTTTAAATGATTCCTTTTCGAA